CTGCGGAGGAAACTCGAGTCACGCAGGACACGGAGTCCAAACGGCGCGGGTCCGGGTCGGTCCGGGTTGGTCCGGGTTCAGGGAAATGGTCGGAAAAGCGGTGAAATGCGGAGGAAACGCGGGGAGCATCCGCCTGACGCGCGACGTGAAGCTGGACTGAAACACCGCCGAGCCGCTGCACACTGCGCATGCGCCGAGCAGGTGGACGGAGCGAAAACACGAGAGAAAAAAAAAAAAGATAAAAAAAAAAAAAGAAAAAAGAAAAAGAGGAATTTACCAAAGAATTATGTTTATTTCACTTTCTCTTTTCTAAGACCAGAACTAAACCAGGACTAAACCAGGTCTAAACCAGGACTAAACCAGGACTAAACCAGGTCTAAACCAGGTCTAAACCAGGACTAAACCAGGACTAAACCAGAACTAAACCAGGTCTAAACCAGGACTAAACCAGGACTAAACCAGGACTAATCCAGGACTAAACCAGAACTAAACCAGGTCTAAACCAGGTCTAAACCAGGTCTAAACCAGGACTAAACCAGGACTAAACCAGGACTAAACTAAACCAGGTCTAAACCAGGACTAAACCAGGTCTAAACCAGGACTAAACCAGGACTAAACCAGGACTAAACCAGGACTAAACCAGGACTAAACCAGGACTAAACCAGGACTAAACCAGGACTAAAACCAGGACTAAACCAGAACTAAACCAGGTCTAAACCAGGACTAAAACAGGACTAAACCAGAACTAAACCAGGTCTAAACCAGAACTAAACCAGGACTAAACCAGAACTAAACCAGGTCTAAACCAGGTCTAAACCAGGACTAAAACCAGGACTAAACCAGGACTAAAACCAGGTCTAAACCAGGACTAAACCAGGTCTAAACCAGGACTAAACCAGGACTAAACTAAACCAGGACTAAACCAGGTCTAAACCAGGACTAAACCAGGATTAAACCAGGAACTAAACCAGGTCTAAACCAGGACTAAACCAGGTCTAAACCAGGACTAAACCAGGACTAAACCAGGTCTAAACCAGGTCTAAACCAGGACTAAACCAGGACTAAACCAGTCTAAACCAGGACTAAACCAGGTCTAAACCAGGACTAAACCAGGACTAAACCAGGTCTAAACCAGGACTAAAACCAGGACTAAACCAGGACTAAACCAGGTCTAAAACAGGACTAAACCAGGACTAAAACAGGACTAAAACAGAACTAAACCAGGTCTAAACCAGGACTAAAACAGGACTAAACCAGAACTAAACCAGGTCTAAACCAGAACTAAAACAGGACTAAACCAAGTCTAAACCAGGTCTAAACCAGAACTAAAACAGGACTAAACCAAGTCTAAACCAGGATTAAACCATCTGACGTTTTAATGTGAAACAAACAGAAATGTGTCAGAAAAACATTCATTTTCTTTTCTGTTGCTGCAGCTGCGTTTAGAATCAGTGAGTCCAGATTTATACAAATGTCCCAGTGTCTCAGTTTTGGTTCAATCTGATCCTGAAACAGTAAAAAGAGACAAAAACTGACATTTGTTTAAATAAAAAAAAAACAGAAAATCTGATTAAAAACGACAAAAACACAAAGAAAATGGGACAGATTCTTGTTCTTCTTGATCGGGTCGAGTGCAGTTTTCACTTTTCAGTTTTCACTTTTTTTTATTTACGTTTGACAAAAGGAGAAATTCGTTTGTGAACTGGACAAACGTTTCTGTGTTTGAATGTTTCAGTTTTGTTTTCAGGATGTTTCAGTCTGAGTCGTTCACCTGAAGCTGCAGCTCCGACGAAACCGAGAAACAGATTTGACCAAATAAACTTTTATTGAATTTCTGTTTTTGTGGTGATTTTACGACTGAAGGTTTTGACACAGATTCACTTTCTCCAAGTCTCAGTTTTTGAACATTTGCTCTTCATAAAAACAATTTAAAAGTTTGAATAAAAGTTTCCAGACGATAAAATCCTCAAACAAAAATGTAAATTTGAGTGGAGTAAATGTGTTTGTGACACTGAAGACGAAGATTTAAACAACTTAAAAAAAACAAAAAAAACTTTAAAATTCATATAAAAATCTGAGTTATATTTGTTTTAAAGACTTGAAATTGACTTGAAGCTCAAAGCAAACGACCTGGACTCGACCTGGACTCGACTTGGACTCAAGGGCCAGTGGCTTGAGATGTGACTGGGACTCGACTTGGACTCGACTTGGACTCGACTTGGACTCGACCTGGACTCGACTTGGACTCGACCTGGACTCGACTTGGACTCGACTTGGACTCGACCTGGACTCGACTTGGACTCGACTTGGACTCGACTTGGACGACTGAAGACGAGGATTTAAACATTTTTACTTTTTATGAATCTCGACCCTCACAGGTCTTGGTCTTGGTCTTGGTCTTGGTCTTGGTCTGGTCTTGGTCTTGGTCTTGGTCTTGGTCTTGGTCTCTGGTCTTGGTCTTGGTCTTGGTCTTGGTCTTGGTCTTGGTCTTGGTCTGGTC